ATTCTCTACATAGGGTCAATAATGTAGCACGTGTATAAATAGTCTACGTCTCTATAGCATATGTCTAAGCGTATATATAAGCGCTATATATGTATATATATAGACGCACTTAGTGTCACTACATATAAATACGAACGCTACTCAGTAGCGTGCGCCATTATGTTTAAGTATTTATATGAACACTAGCGCCGTGCTCTTCTGTACTATTTGCGTGCGTGTCTATACGTATACACTCGCGCGCATGTGTGTATGTATATCAATGCACACGCTACAGCGTATACAGATACACACTAGACACGTGCGCAGTATATATATACATATCCAAAACGTACACGCCTGCGCGTGTTTATGTATACCCATCCGCGCGCTATGTATATGCTTACGCGCGTCGGTCTATGTGTGTGAATTTAATTATTTGCACCCATGTAGACGCATAAGCAAGAGGCCACTTAATTAGAGTTACACTATATGAACACACGCAGCCAGACCGACGCGCAGGGGTGTAGTATGTAAGCACTTGGCTGCGTTTATATATGCACCTATATAGATATATGCACACGAGCGCGCGGAGTATATACATAAGAGAACGCACCGGCATAAAGGCACTAGCTACGCGCCAAATTTACGGCGTATGCGTATACACTCACGCACTTCATCTGATTGCACTTGTTCGCGTTATATATAAACGCCGCGCGTTATCTATATACTTACGCACATACTCAGCCGCGTCAATTTCTAGCATAGCAAGGCGCGCGCGTATTTATACAGATACACTTATAAGCATGCGTGTTTAATTATATACGCGCCCGCTTTTTTATATATATATCGGCCATTGTCCACCTAGATGCATCCGATGCACATGCGTATAGCTTAGCGCTTGCCCATATCTTTACAGATATACATACGCCCGGCGTAAGTTTGTGAATGTATATACAACAGCGGGCGAAGTGTGTATATTTATACGCACAAGCTAAGCGGTACAGTGTAGCGCAGACATGTGGGCACGCTGATGCATAATATTACCACGCTGCAGACTGATGGCATACACGTGCCAGAGTCTATATACGTGCTTCGCTATATATATACGCACCAACTTGAACACATGCCGCGCGCCTGGGTGTGTATATAAGACGCGCCGCATGTATTTGCGCGCAAGTGTGTCCCTATGTCGATCTATATAGAATGGCACGCGTATACCTTTACGCAGTGCGTCTATATATATAGTTAGACGCCTATACATATGCAGCGACATAGAAGCGAATATCTAAGCACTGGCGCGCAGTGTCAACCTATAAGCCAACCACAGGCGCGCGCAAGTGTGTCGGTTGGTTCTTATATATAAGCAGCGCTTATATATACGCGCGCCCTCCTACGTACAACGAACTACGCGCGAAGGCATGCACGTGCCCCGTCAGTGCAGGCATGGCTCTGCTCCATCTATGCACGGGCGCAAGTCAGTGCGTGAGCCCGTGCACATGGATGAGAGAGCGCGCGCGTATCAATCTGCCCGCGTCTGCGTCTATGTATATAGATACAAACGCGCGCGCGTATATGGATGCGCGTGGTGTGTGTGCATCTAGGCACTCGCTGACTCGCGTAGCAAGCTAGGCAGGCCTTAGACATAGCGACACAGCGAGCCTGCCAGCACCTTGCTTCGCCCTCGGGGGGTTGCTTTGTTGTTTTAGTTCGTGCGAATGTCTATACTATGCCCAGCAGCTTCGCCCTCGGGCGATGTGTGGCTGGGCGTGTGTCAGTCTATACACAGGCGCACGCGTGTATAAATATACACGCCCGCAGCTACTTACACGGCACCCACCGACCAGCTTGCTTCGTCGAGCCCTGGGCGTAGCTTCGTTCCATCCTTGCTACCTAGGCAGCCTGCCTAAGGCTGGCAGGCACCCACCGCGCGCACGCTCGCGCCCCCCTGTGAGCGTGCTTTATTCGTTTTACCTCTCAGGCAGCTACTTCCCCTCGCTGCTTTCTCATGATGGTCGACGCAGGTACACATTCGATATTAATCTAGCAACATCTAAGCTATGAATGTACTACATACACCCTTCCATCGACAGGCATCCAGGTTGGTTCGAGGTGCCTACTCTTTTGCAAAAAGTTAGCTACCAACTAGCCAACGAACACAACCCAACCAAGCCAGCGCTAGGTAGCAGCCTAGCTACTCCATCTCCCCTAGCCTCTCCCTGTGACTTTGCTCATAGAAGTACCGCGTAGGGAGATTGCCGTACATTCTGTCAAGATCTTCGCACCCTTTTTCGAAATTGATGCCCGTGCTGGTCCCTCTGTTTTCGGGCAGGCGCAGAATCCTCTTGGCCTGCTCGATGCGACCCCGCATTTTTTTGATGTATCGACCGTTGAGCACCTTGTACGCGTTCTGCTCTGCCAAACTGCGATAGTTTCGCGCCCCTGGTTCTCCTGGTTCTGGATTTAACTCCAGAACATGATGCACGTACCACGACCAAACCCCACATATCGCCTTGGCTCCCATTAGTCCGTACTCCTTTATGGATGCGCTTCTGCTCAACGTCAACCCAGGCAAGGCTCGGATGGCTTGTTTGTGCTGCGTTCCAACGTCACACGTGCACTGCTTGTTGTCGGATGCCACTCTACCCGCGCCAAATCCCGGGGCAAAATCCAGGCTGCTTCCGTCTTCTAGCAGCTGCCTTCTATTGTCAAACCCTTAGAAGATGGAACGCACAAGGATAGATAAAACTGCGTCGCGCAGCTTCGATAGATAGTAAGTTGGTTGCGATCCCTTGTTTCTTTCTGAGAAACTATCTAACAAACCGCACAAGCAGCAAGAATAGGGTGAGACGGTCTCTAACTAAGTAACAGAGAAGGAAACAAGCACGGAACTAGGTAGGACCGGCCCTATGCGTCTGTAAGTAAGTAAGAAAGGGCGAGCCACTGAGAACCCTATCGACAGCCGTAATGCAGCTCCCTAATGTGCTCTGCCAGCTCTTCCTCGTTTAGTTCCTTGGCTGGGTTCTCCAGTCCAGCCTCGATCTCTTTCTTCGCCGCAGCGGCGCTGTGAGTGTGAGAGAGTGAGTGCGTTGAATTATTGCGAAGTGGATATTTATCTGGCGACAGACTTCGCTCAGGAAGGAACCAACGGGCGCAAGGATGCGACGCACCCAAGGACCAACTTTTTTATTTACGGCACGTAGACGAGTCAGCTTAGTTACTCCCCAAACAGGCCACGCGCGTAGCTTCTTTCTTAGCCACGTGCCCAGACTTAGGGACAATGGAGCTACTTACTGGGAAGCTTACTGCAATGGGAAGACAAACACACGCAAGGGATGCTGCTCCTAACTAACAGAGGAGAAGTCTGATCAGCAACGAAGCAATGAACCAAACAAAGAAAGCGGGCCAAAACAAAGCCCACGAGCAATTAAATGAATATACTTGCTCCCATTGTTACTTAGCGACTAGTAAATATATAAGCTAGCACCTACTCACTGCTACTTCGAGGAGCGAAGTACCTTCTATACGTACGGCACCTACGCGCAGTCTATCTAAGCTTGCGCCTACATTCGTAGTTAGATAGAGCCGCTGCATGACGAACCAAAGTCCGCCAAGCAGTGCGCCCGTTTATCACTCAGAGGGACTCTGCCTAGGGACTCGCTCAGAGAAGCACTAGAGTGAGAACTTGACACCACCTGATAGCACCTGACACACACTTACCAGGTGTAGAAAGTCCCTGCGTGCTACGTACGAGTCAGAGCGAATAGTGATGGTCACGCGCTTGCCCCCTCGCTGCCAGCCTAGATTATATATTAATTCATATGTACTCATTGGTTGCAGAAAAAAATTACTAGGACGGAGGGAGACAGAGGCCGAGCTTTCTCTGCGCTCTCTTTCTTAGGGCTTCAGCCACTCCCTGAAGTATGTAAGGCCCTCGCGTTAGATTCTTCGCAAAACAGTTAGCGCGAGTCTATCTATCTACCTATCTATAGAAACTCAGTAAACTTGCGCCCAAATAGGACGCGTATGTAAGTATAGAAGTACCTATTGGTCACTTTTTGACGATTTCGCTTTTTCGCAGAACGCTGCAGACGCTGCTTCTTTTTGAGTGCGTGGACCCACTTCATCATGTCCTCCACTAACTCGGGGCTTTCAAGCTCCTCTGCCATCGCCTCCCTGTTTGATTCTTCCGCCCTTAGTACAGAAATAGCTAAATCTTCCGCGCATGGGTTTCGCTGAATTTCTGCACTTTCAGGCGTGCCTTTCGGCACACCTGGCAAAGCGTGCCCAGGTGTTTTGTTCGACTGCGCTCCGCCTGCGTCTGCACCTAATTTTCGCAGCTCCTCCAATTGTTTTCCAATTTTCTTGCTCCAGTACTCCTCCTCCGGGTTGCCAGTGTTTGCCTTGGTTGAAGACTCTGCGGCAGCTTTTTCCTCTGCGCGCAGAATGCGTTGCTCTTGCATCCTGGAGCGCGTCTCTTCCTCAAGATCGTTTGGCTGACTAATGAAAAGCCGCAGACTCCCAGGAACGTGCGACACCTCCTCAAAGATAAGAACTGGATTTTCGTGATCGTTGTGTGCCATCAGAAAGTCCGTGACGGTCACGGGCGGACAAGTCAAATCCACCTCCAAGCACACCTCCTCAATTGCTGCAAGGCAATGCTCCCCCGCGCCACTCATGGATGAGCCAGTTTCTATCGTCTTCAACTGAATCACTTTTGCTCCTAAGGGTGACCTGGAAGAGATCAGAACTGCGAAATAAAGTCCAGACGCGGTCTTGAAGAAATCCATTGCACCCTCCTGATGGATCCTTCCTATGTTGACCTCTGCGGCGCACCTTTCTGCTTTGGGAGCAGTTGCTCCCACTAGCCTGCCTCTTGCCGCGAGGGACTCTCCATCTGGTGCATACAGGCCTAAATTTGGAGCAATGCTGCAGGCATCTTCTAGCGGATACGGAGTGCACGGCTCCTTCAAGTACTTCCGACAATTCGCAGCAACAGACGGCGCGGCGCAATCCAAAATGGTCTGCATTCGACGTCGCAGCTGCTTTCGGTCCTGGACGTCTTCGTCAGCGTTCCAAGCTCGTACTGCTGCTGCATAAGCCGCTGCTTGATCGGCAACCATAGCACTGGTCTCCGCCCGCCTCTTCTGCAGTTCATCTCTAATAAGTTCCCCTACCCATTCGTTCTCGCCTCCTCTCTTCATCTTCTCCTCTTGATCCTTGAAAAGCTTCTGCGCTTTGGCAAACTCGATTTGAGACAGTTCTTCATTCCCAGTGCTGCCAACCATAGAAAGGTAAGACCGGACGAAGGTATTTCGCTCCGAGATGTAATTAGCTGACTTTAGACGCTTGCACCTTGGAGCTTTTTTCTTTTGCCGAACTCTCCGCGTCAAGATTTCTGCACCATAGTCGACGTCAATATTTTCCGGCAGCGCTGGATTGCCTCTTTTATGAGCCGCCCGGGATGTGATCGTGTGGTCTGTTAGAAGTAGGCCAATCTCGATCTTGAAGAACTGATCAGCCCCTTTTGAGAGAGTCGCTCGGTCAATCAATGAATGGGACCAAAGTTTTGTTAGTACAACGAACATTATTTACTGATGCTTGCGTGAGTACGTAGGGATCACCGGAAAGACGCAAAGCAATCAATTGGCTGATTAGTTACGCATAGTATATTTGGTTGCCAATCTATGCATCATACGAACGTCCTCTGCTAACTTTCCTACATTCGCGCCTATCTATGAGCCATGCGCTCGTTTCCGACTGAAACGCTGTTAGTTCGTAGCTAGAATGTGTGTGGGTGCGTAGCCCTTGGCTTCTGTTCAGCACTCCACGAGTCAGTCTATGTATGGGCCTATTTGCAAAAACGCAAACGGGGACACATACATACATAGCCACCGCCAGCCTCACGATCAATCTGGCAGTCCTTGAGTCAGTCTGTGTGTTGCCAACAGTAACTAAGCCAGCAAAGAAATGAATGCTGGCTGGCGCACCCACCTCGTACGTACGTTGCGTAGGAAGGTAGTTTGTTACCTTGGTGCCTACTTATCTTTCTACGCTGTTTGACTCAGGGGAGAGTTAGTAGTCTTTCCACTTTGTTCTCCCCAGGATCGATCGATGGAGTCATTGTCCGCCAGCCAATGCGCAGCCACTTTTTTCTATCCTGTGTAGCGTGCAGAACAGTGGCGACTTGTGAAAGCGGTTCTCTACGTACTAATGAGGCACTTCAGCTAGGGCTGTTTGTAAATCGAAGCCGATAAGACTACCCCTCAGTCTAATTCGAAGAGGCTTCCTTACTGCTACGCACATAGTTAACCCCGAACATAATGTGCTTTCGCTTCGGTTTGTGGTTCTTTGAATCGTGCGACGAAATAGCAACAGCAGCTCCCTAACGTACTCGATAGAAACTTGCTCCAGCCTCAACATTTTCCGCAGTTTCTTGTTGAAGCTACCTCTCACATCCAGAAGCGGCGAATCGTCTGGAAGTAGCAGATACCGACTGACTGCATAGTAGAAATTCTCGGAGTCGTCTAAATCTTCAAAAAACAGAAACGGATAGCGAGCGCTCTCAACTCGCATTCGGTCCCATGCTCCGAAGTATGCTCTCAGCATCGCATAAACAACGCACCAGTCGCATTCTACGTCGCCGGGCCAAATTTTTTAGATCATGTCTCCATCTCATACTTACTTACATATTGGCTTGCTGAGGGCTACGTAGCTTACATACAATATGTAAGAAGCATTGACTCCGTCCTGATCTTCACTCCTGCGGAAGGTAAAAGCTGTTCGTTGTTTCAGATGGGGCACTTCGTTCCCTCCCCTCTTCAAACTGAACAGACTAAGTAAGCATCGGGTGATGTATCTATGAATAACGTGCTACGTTCGTAGATTTTGACGCAAGCGATGACCCACGGATGGGAAGGTGATCGATAGGAACTACGAGGTTGTGGACTTGCTACGAACATACAAAGTGGATGCGCAACCATGAATCTACGAGCTTTTAGCGAAATCTGCGTAGCAATTCTAGGTAGATTGATTGATAGTTAGATAATAGTTAGAAAGAAAGTAGTATTATTTTTGCACAAGGCAGCAGCCTACGTAGCTTCGCACTTTGTGCCATGCGAGTGCGAAGGGAGATTGATTATCATATATCCAAGCGTCTATGGTTGTATGTAATTCGGAGTCTCTCTTTACAAGGATCTAGCGGCCAGAATGTGCATCAAAGTAATAGCCTTAATTGAAAAACGACAAGACCCGTAGATAGAGAGGGTAGGCCGCCAGCGACAGGCGGATATCATCAGAGGTTTCTGCATGCTTGTCGACCGCCTCTCGCACCTCGCCCGCATAAAGCCGTCCCGCACTTGGCAGCAGCTGCGCTGTAACGAGGTGCAAATCCAAGCAAATTAGCTTCACGCCCCTCCACGTCTTTCCCCAGTTACTCGCGTTGACCCAGCAAGATCCACTCCAAATAATGTCAGTTGAATCGCCCAAAACTCTATCCATAAATACTTGGGTGATACCCGTCACATCCAAGGTTAGAACTTTTACTAAAAGAAGGGAGTAACTTTTGCTCTTTGCTGCCTGACAATGAATGAGTCTAACTATGTAAGTACGCATTGATTGATTCATTCACATTCACCAGAAGCAAGCGCCAGTCACTGATCTACCGAGTCACGCTGTTGAAGAGACTACACACTTCCATAGATTGACACAGATAGGATTTATAGAAGCAACCTGTAGCGATTTTCCGTGTGGTGTTTCTCTGTGCAAGAAAGTAGCTGTGAACGGAACGAGCGCTGGCTGGAGAATAAAAGAGTTTCATTAATAATGATAATAAATAACTAGGTGACAGGCATAGCGTGCCTGACCTAGAATAGATACCAGTCACGATACAGATACGAAATTGATAGCTACAGGCAGGCACCCATGGCCAATGAATAGGGGACTTTGACTTCCGGGATGCTCTAGTATAGCTAATCCAATAGTAAACTAATCACAGACATATACTTACATACTCCCATGCGAGAGAAAGCTTCTATCTCAGGCACATAGTGCAGTCACGCGTGGAGGGCTACGTATGTTCCTCTAGTGCTAAAAGCCATAAGAAGAGCAGCATACGCTTCAGCATGTCTTCTATTGTAAACCACCGGTTAAATGATGGCAATTGCAAATACTTCGAAGCCAATTTTTCCAACACGACTAGAATCTCCTCCCTAGCAGCCTCCAAGATATTTGCTTCCACGTCAGCAAACCGCCTTGGTCCTGTGATCAAGAACTTTCCGTTTCCGTCGTCGTCTTTTGTGAAGACTATCCCCAACTCCTCATCGAAGTCCGCAACTGCGTCTATGTTCATCTGATGCGTGAACGTCCTCCACTCGCATGCACGCTGCTGCCATGTCGCCATTTCCTTTTTCAGAGGAATCTCTACTCGAATCCAATTCGCCAACTGCCCCAAAATCTGCGAGGAGCGTCTTCGGAGTGTCTGCGTCAAAGTGTAGAGCGTGGCTCCGCATTGCTTGTGGCGCGTGTTCTTGGCTGCCCCCTCTTTGAACAAGTCACGCGCCGCCAAATAGCATTCGGCTGCCCCACAACTCGACAGCGCTAGTTGGTGCTGGAGGCAGTGAAGCTCAAGATCGAGCACGTTTTGTTTCACTATATACAAGCCACACCACAAGTCATTGTTAGAAGTCCCACATTTGCATATAAAACGGCGCTGACTTTGTACTTGGCTTCCTCGTATTGGGAATACAACGCAAATTAAGACGAGTCAGCGCATGACACTTAATGGCACCTTAACATTTAATTTCTTCATTACGCCAGCGGCGTCGCCTATTACGTACGCGACGATTAGAGGATGGGCTTTGGTGTTTCCATTTCCCACGCTGTGCGCCACTTGTTCTGATGCTCCTAGACCTAGAGGAAGGAACATACGTGACCCAGAAACGAAGAGAAGAGACACCAAATGCTTGCTTTGCCATAAAATTACTGGAGGTCCGTGCAAGGAGATGCAGCCGACCACCTCCCCGAAGCACTCCATCATTTTTGACAACAATTCGAATGCGGTGTGGCTAGGCATAGTCCAGACGAGGGGAAGGAAGAACTCAGTTGTGGCACATTTTCGAGGCTGCCCTGCGTCTGCGCCACTATCCTGCACAAGACCAGTAGAAGTTGACGACGAAACTGTCGCAGCAGAACCACTCACAGCATTACTTGCTAGTGCAGACTGAGCAACTGGAAGAAATGCGGATAAGTCCGAGGCCTCTGTAGTGAGTGGAAGTCTATGTCCACTAGACGAATTGCTGGTCTCCGCGTAGTGATAGACGTGAAGGGTCAGCGGATACGCATGTCGCTCCTCTGGGCGATTCTTGACCAATTCGCTAGTTGCGTATGTCCTCATCTCAGGACATTTCTTAGAGCCTGCCAAGGAAGTGAGAGTCTTCAGTACTTCGTTTGGCACACATCTATTCTCTGAAGAGATGATTGAAAAAGCCCTTAGATAGGAAGGATGAAAGAAGGGGCAGAAAAGATTGCACCACATAGCAAATAATGTAATAATTCATTGCCGTAATTAAAATTACTGTGACAGCCTTTCCATCCGTTTCGTGAAACAATACTAATGGCGCCTCTGCTGCTTTCAAATCATGAAGCGTCTTAAGCGCAGCGCGATTCAGCTGCTGCCGCAACACGTGTACGGCCTGTTTCTTTACATTATTACCTGTGGGCAATTTCATGATATCATCTACGCCAATCCACAGGGGGCTGTCTTCCTTTTCTTGACTGAGACTCCGACTCTGGCCTCTTCTTGCGCTTCTGCTTCTTGCAGCGCTACCTCTTCCACCCGCTGACGATGGCCCCATATTTTCCTCCCTAAGTAAACTAATATCAGATCGCTGCGCTAAGATGAAGCTTATTTTCACTTTCGAAGCAAGATGTGCGAAGACCTGAAGAAGACCTACTAAGTCATGGGTTCCTATTCATCGCTTTGCTACAATCCTACTTGTTCTGAGCTAGGTACTATGTCGCTAAGTATGGAAGCAGATGGCAGTGTGCATAAGCATGGAGAAAGCAATGAGGTTCGACTTTTCAACAAGCATGCAAAAAATGAGGGGAAGGAGACGAGCGAATTGAACCTCCTCAAGAGAAATCAAATGCGTTTTACAAGAAGTAGCTTGAAAGTTATAATCAATTTCGAGTTGCTGCAACCGTCCGCCACGCAAAGCCGATTGATAGATTCAGTAGAAGTTGCTTACTCAAATCCTGGCGAGAACGGGCTCGAGACGACGTCCAACAAAGCTCGGCTTATAGATTATATTTAATCATAATCCAAAAGTCCCAAAAGAAACACTAAAAAAAGAAGCGAAGACCTTGTCATAGGAAAGGCTGACAGCATACAAACAAAGACAATGCGACGGCCCCTGCGATATTGCAGTGCATTCTTATTCACACACATACCAGGTTGCGACCAAGCCGGGGAGTTTGTTTTCTTACTCATGAGCGACGCGATCCGAGTCCTACGACCGATAATAAATGACATCTATACGCATTACGCAACGCAAGACGAGTCCAAAAAAAAAGGAGCTTTCGCTACATCATAAAAAGCAGACGCCTCTGGTTCTGACTAAGAAGATGTAGAGCTCTGGCGAACACCTCCTTCCAGAATTTTCAAAGCGACCCCAATGTTCACGGACCAGATAGGCGCACGCCTGTGCCGCAGTCACTGCTTTGCTTGCATTTTTGTATCATAAACAGAACCTGCGATCGGCACCTAGTGCATCCTGTTGCCACAGACAAGGTTGATTCATTGTCCGAGTCCCAGACCCCGTTCTTGCATATAGGTTTTCTCTGCTGCGAAATCATGAAGGAACCAGTTCAGCTAAAGCAAAGGATCGAGCCTGCGAGTCCGTAGTAGTGACTCACCCTCCTCATATATTCATTACATATATAACTAACTTTGCTTGCACTACATAAATAACTTGGCATCCGCCTCCCTGTTAGTTACACTGGCCTGCTTTGTGCTCTGAAAGTGTATCAAACAATGTAAGGGAGCAAAAGCCTCTACTTATATGTGAAGGTGACAGGCAGATCCGAGGATTGCTACTCAAAGAAATCACAGCCAACCACAGTCAGAAGTCTCTAACATTACATACAAACTATGAGCGCTACGCATGCTAGTTGCGTCTTGTAGACACATACGCGCTAGTATGTACTCATGCCATTGGTGTGCAAAAGAGTCCGACAACGCGCCGGCTCGCTGTGGAGTAGTCAATTAGGCTGCTTATTCAATCAAGGCACATTGCTTGTTTAAACCGATAGATTCAGAAAGCAGAACTATCAGGATGGAATATAATAAACAGTTCCTTCAGTCATTCATTCTACCAATCAAGATCCGTTGTGCAAGAACCCATGGAGGACCACCCTGACTTCCATACTCTGCCAATTTTAGCTAGGTGGACCAACCCGGCCCGATTCCCCATCAGCATCCATTCATCACATTCGTGAAACATAGTTCGATAGACGTTGACGTCTTACATAGATACTTATTAGTCTTCCACCACTTGCGATTTTAGTTCCTTCTACCTAGAGCGAAGGACACCCCAATTAGTATGTATCTAAAAAGTAGATGAGAGCGCTCTCCACTGAGCAGGTGGATTTTTGTATCATACACAATCAAGGACAAAACCAGCACTAACAGTAACTAATAGGATGTCTATCTGATACTATGAATCAATTTGAGTAATGGAAATTAACAGGCACTTTGCTCAGGATGTTTGTTGTAGGAAGAAAGAGGGCTTGTAAATATAGGAACATGCCACATACACACGTCCTAGATAATAAGTATGCACTTCTGGAAAGAAAGCTGGGACTTTGTGGAGAGCAGGGCCCTACAGCCTTTTATTACATACTAGCAGACAGATTTATACATAGGAGCGAGCCTCGGCTGTACCGTCGTGGATTCATACACACTACACAGGTGCTTGCGTGTGTAGGTTGCTATTGATTGACTCTATGCGTCCCAGCATCAATTATGGCTACTAGAGAAAACCTGGCGTGAGGCGACTCTATGTGAAAAGATAGTCAGTGCCACGCGTGTTCTCGTATGTATTACCTCCTCAGTTAATGACTACTTTCTCAGAAGGACTCCGCAACTCCGTCCCATCCGAGTCTGTTGACATTGTAATCGCGCCGCTCCTAGGTAGGACTACCTCATCGCGCCAGAGATTCTGACTCGCTCAAAGAGTCTTTATTGCTAGGTAGTCTAATCAAGAAAGAGCTTATTATTCAATGCGCGAGATAGGGTGTCTGACGCGGAGACGTCAGGCCTAAGTCCTTGAAATTGCCGACGACAACAAAGTAACAGACGCAGTTGGTAGCAACCCCTGTTCTTTTCGTGAAAAATATCCCATATATAACATAATATTAGATTTATGAACCCATACTATGGCTGCTGATAAGGGAAAAGTTCTGCATCAAAGAGGAGTATCAACATTTCGTTAGTATCGACAAAGATAAATATCCACAACAGCCGTCTTTATCAGCAAAATCGCTAGTAACGAAGCGGAATCTCTTTCGTGGTTCCTGAGGGTATCGCGCTTTCATCCTAACAGTTTTCCATCACGCGCAAAAGAGGACAGACACCCTGGAAGCGAGTGCGTCTTCTTTGTCTACTAGCTTACACTTCAACTTCGGTAACTTATATATCTACACTCTTCTATGGTCTTGAGCATGTATTCGCTTAACGAGTAATGCGTGATCGATAGTGCGGCGCGATCAGTGCTACGGAGAAAGAACGCCTGAGGGTTCTCGCTCCCCTTGCTAAGCAGCCTCTGTTTTCGTCAAGATTTGTAGATGCGTGGAAGGAAAGCAGAACTTTGTAAGGAAACTAACTGTATAAATATGAACGAAGCGTCCTCACATGAGAGCCATACGAAGAGAGTACTGGTTCGTTGCTAGCTACGATTAACTTCTTACTTTAGAAAGGAGCGCCTGGCTGAGTATACTTCCCATATCGATTGGCTCACCCTCTCCAAATTAGTAAATTGTAGCGGTTGATCACATCACTTTCTATTTCCCGCGATACCAACAAACTCATAAATCAATTGAATCTTGAGTTTCTTAAGTGGAGCTGTATACATGATTCGTCGAGAGTCTTTGCATCTATCAAAATTTGCAGCGTGGACCTATCAATCTCCTTGAAGTGCTTTGGTTTGTTTCTGACATACTCACTAACTTGTACTTTCTTACATACTTCCAGCCGTGCCTATGAGTACTGGCCTGAAATTCTTCTGGGTGGAAATTGGTGTTTGGCAAAATTGCGGCTCTGATGTACAATGTATCCCATTCCAACAACGTGCTCCCATGAACATGATACATTCCAAAAAGAAAGCAACAACGCCTAAGAGACAGACTGTTCCCTATTTCTAACTATCTATGCATCCCCATGGAATCAAATCAATGAGTGAATGTATTTTATGCACATCAAGAGGATATGTTTGTGTTTGCATTTTTCCCCCGCGTAAACGAGAGCCCCAAGTACCAAACAACAATGCTGAAAAAAATTAGTTCAAAGTATTTTTCATGCTGCAAGCTCACGAGGCACGTAGCGCAGCCTTCCTTCGCCGATTGTGAAAAGTTGGCGCAACTGGAATTTTCGGCTTCGGCGTCTAACAATCTACCTAGAAGTATCTCCAGGCACAGATACATACATATCAGTCTACAACTCGGCTGCTCTTGCTAGGTAGACAGTACTCCGACGGAGTAACTAAGACTTGAGTGAGAGCTGCGCTTTGTTTCGTATGGGAGAGTCGTCAGGCTACAAGTCGATGGCCCAGCTCTGATTTCTCTATAACATGAGCTATGGAGTAAGGAATCGCGCTAGTTTCTACCCCCAAAGCAAATGGCCACCTTTCATTGTTTCAGGAAATACCACAAGAATACACGAGGGAGTACGACATCCTTGTCCTACTGCGATCTCAGAAAGAAAAAGATGGCGCTTCTTCCGCATACTCTGCACCCCTGTCGACACCAAGAGGGCTTGACATGCAAGCATGAAAAATATTTATCGAATAAAACAATGAGTAGTCTTTCTCCAGTGAATGACTGAATAATATGTTTGCCCCCATTATCTTACGCATCATAGATGAGTGACAAATAGTATTTCTAACAAAAATAATTCTTTTTCTTACTAAGCTTGTTAGTCGATCATTGATAATGATTTTCCATAAAACGAACCACAAAATTGAAGCGATTGCAGAGGAAGCAGTACCCTAGTGAAGGTCGGGTCTAGATCCGTTTGCTTCTACAATGCAGGCACACAACTTATTTATCACTTCCGATACTCAAAATTTCTGCTTAAATGCTAGTTCTCTTTGAAGATGTTCATTTTTTTGAGAGAAAACGAAAGGTCTTGCCAATAAGAAGTCTACAGCTGTGAAGAAGTGAAAAGACACAGCTATCAAAAAGACAAAGTTCACAAACCTATCAATGACAGACTTTGCAGAATGAAAGGGTAATACCGTAGCGCCCCGGTAGAAGCCATGTTAGTTTCTTTCCGCTCCGTTGTATGTAAGTTCATTTTCGTGTGCTCGTCGATAATTGCTGTATAAAATCACTCTTCACATACTATCTAAAAAACTAGGTCGGTGCTAACGTATCGTCATCGATCTGCGTCGATCCTGTATCTAAGCTAGTTCGGGAACTCCCATCTAGATTGAGCTTGTTGAAGGAAGGTGATAACAAACACGTCTACTATTAGATACTCCCATCTACTTGAAGAAAGTAGATACCTAATTAAGAGACTCTTTCTTGACCTTGAATCCAGTCGAGGTGCTGCTAGACTTGCTGCTGCGAGCCTTATCATTTCCCTTTTTGACCTCCTTTTTGGTTCCCGACGAGCTGCTTCCGGAGTTGCTGGCCTTGGAGCTTTCCTTCTTGACCTTGTTGTCGGTCCCAGTACCAGACGAGATGATGTCGCTGCTGCCCTGTGCATTGGCATCCATTTTCGTTTGCTTGCCTTTGCTCTTTTTGGCCGTCGTGGTCTTCTTCTTGTTGTCGTTGACCGTGTCGCGGGTCTTCTTCGTCTGGACACCCTTGCTATTCGCCCAGCAAGTAGATTAGAATTTGGCAGAAAGATCGAAGTCTATCTAAATTTCTATAGACACACAAAGTATAACTATCTACGCTCCATGCTATCTTAGTTTGTCAGGATGCATGGAGCGATGGATAATGAATGAATGACCCAAAAGAAGAGCTACCAAGGAGGGAAGCAAGCTAGAGTAGCACGTAGCTGCACCACATGGGGTTGCTAGCTTTCAGAAGGAAGCTGCTCGCTACATACTTACATAGATAGAAAGAGCTAGGAATTTAGTGTCCTGCTCCTTAACGGCGTAGTGCCGACTCGCGGTTACGGTTCCAAATCTTGAGGGTCTCGGCGGCGGATTTGTGCTCCTCGCGCCATTGTTTTTCGCATGATTAGATGAGTTTTGAACTATTCATTAGCCCCACTATGTATCCTTGCTAATCAGTGATTAATAAGTATACCAGTCACAACAAACTAAGTAACATGTTACTTAGTTTGTTGTGACTGAGACAGCAGCACTTTACTAGGTACTAGCTACTGCGAGTCATCTTTTTTGACCGCAGTTGCTTTATTTTGTATAGCAAAAAAATGCGGCTAGACATATCTATCTTAGATAGAATGAGCGATCGAGAAGTACTCTCCACGACTGTGAGTACTACAAAAGTAAGCTCCCTGGTAGGTGAGTTCCCTGGTGGATAAATATCTCTTTATATAAATATACGCACACACTGCCATAGCAGAACTTCGTCCAGTTCTGTAATTAGAACCCACGGCGAGGAACCCTCATCCATCTGGAACGAAGGGGACCGGCGGCCCATGCATCAGTCATCTTGTTGCTAGCTTGCATGCTTCTTCAGGAAACTGCTCCCTCACTCTTACTTTCCTAGGCATGGAGCAGCTTCAAGATGGATGCTGTGGAGGGAGGTCGCACGCAGATGGATTAGGGTTCTAAGTCGTAACTCAGGCGGGCTTGGTTCTCCTTGTGCGCCTGCTGCTCTTTTAGCGTCGCGAAACGCGCTTTCAAAGACGCTTGCTTTTCGGAGTGGTGTGCCTCCACTGGGTTTTCCTCACCTTAGAAAGATCCATCATCTAAGGACCAAGCGACAAGCTAAAGCTTTTGGCGTTAATTGGTGTAGCTAACTGTTGATAGAGCATGCTAGCTATACACGAGGCAGGAAGATAGAAGATGTAGTACCCTTGTAGTAAGTATGTAAATGAATATGCCATACATACACAGGAAGCATATACAGCACTTACCTTCGTACTTACATACATAGACACGCCTCTACTCGATGCCCGAAGTGAGCAAACAAGAATAGCCTAGTAAGTTATTAGTAGACGATGTGGACCATAAATGTGCGCAAGACCCTTCGCTTTCGACGCCTTGTCCACCGTTCCGAAGCTCAAAGGGATTGGAGGAAGAAAAAGAAGGAGTGGCTATACCTATAGATACTATAATCTACTACTAGCATAAGAGCTTGAGAGAGAAAGGAAGAGTGAAGCTAGTAGTATGCCTTTGATTCTTACAGTGTTTGTTAGTCTCTGTATTTGTTTGTGCGAGTTTCTAGCGTCGGACAGTACTTACTTAAAATGTATAGTATACTATAGCATAGTGGTCTTAGATAGATACAGATTGATAGCCCCCTCAGTGAATTAATGTAGTCACTCAGTGTCTATCTAATTTGGAGAACAGAGAGCACCCGAAGCCTCACGAACCGCTACGGCTTTCTTCCTAGTGAGCACAAGACTGGGGCAAGCTCTTCCTTGCTAGCAAGCTACGTGCATACAGCAGACAACTCTGACTCGCTAAAGAAACTCTAGTGCGAGCGTAGCCTAGCCAATTAGAAAACGGAGCAGCAGTGACTCAAAAGAGGCAACACATTGTGTATGTATAAAGAGTTGTTGACCCACTGATATAAATGTAGCATACTAAGCTTCGCCCTTTCTCTTCTTCGTCATCAGCTGGTGGTGAGTAAGTATATATAAAATAGATAGAATAACGCGACTCATAAGCGCGGCGACTCCCATACCACTTCGCCCGTCTTCAAGGATTAGAGCCGCGAACAATCAACTACTTGCGCATCTGTGAACGTATGACAGACAATCAGCCTCATTGATGGTCTCAGATTGAATTGATTGATGCAACTTGCAGGAAGCACGCATCCACCTATCTACCCAAGAGTAATCTAGTCGATAAGGAGAGTGCATTGCACGCACCTGCTGCGTGCAAAAGCACCACATAGTTAGATAGAAAGATGCAACCAATCTTGAGCTTGTATTCAATTATACAGCGTCCTTGTCGTTGATTCACGCACGACACTGACCCACGGAAAACATGATAGCCTTGTCTTAATTGTTTCGCTGCTGAAGCTTCGGCATGCCTCCGGGCGTCCACTTCTTAGCAAGGCCAAACCTGAAAGGCGATGAAGAATGAACGATAGGTGTGAGCATCCGGCGTATGATCTAGGTATGGAGATCCGCACAAAGAAGAGCAGCCCAGCGATCGATCCCCCAAGAAGAACAAAGCAGTGAATGTATGAATCACGTTCGTACGGAGATGGAAATCCGTGGTAGCGAAGTACTATTGGGTATGTATGTAAATCATTTAAAAGAAGAACATCAAGAGTCGGCACAAAGATAACAAGGCTAGTACTCAAAGGACTCCGAGGAGGAGGACGAGGAGGGCGCTTGCGCTGCGGGAGGCGTCTCCAGCAACTTCTTACGGCGAGCTTCTGCATCATCGCGCAGTGATTCCTGGTAGCGGTCCTCCCATTCCTTTGCTTGGTTGGAGAATTAGACTGGTGATAGATTGAATATTGAAGGAAGTTCAATCATTGGTAAAAAGATGATTGATAGATGACGCCACTACGTACAAGTAGCTTACTGTAAGCTCTTTCATTCACTCTTTTGAGGACCCATCCAAAGAAGATATAATTTATGAAACAGCAAGTCCATTAATTTGGTCCAACCTTAGGGAGTTGTCAGTGCGAGGGAGACCTAGACAAAGCATGACTATGTATAATGTACTACAGATACTCAAAAAAAATACACATAAATGTACTACAGATGACTCAACTGCAGTCAGATACTACATCATAACTCACTAAAGTACTTCCGATACTCAAAATGAAAATTGCTCATAAAACTTCCACTTGATAAACGCCGGAGCACTTTTTGGCGATAAGGGCTTAAGCAGCTGCGGCCCCTTGATGTTGATGTCACTGTTGTGCTTGTCCGATTTCATCGCCTGCTTCATCACCGGCTTCATAGCAGCTGGAGGAGCAGCCGGAGCAGCCTGAGGCTTAGCAGGCGACAGTTTGGCTGCAGGCGACATGCCGAAAGACTTGGCAGGCGAGCCTTTGAAAGGACTCCCGGTTGGCAATGCGGAGCCCAGGTCTTTAATCGGAGACTGCGACGGCATGATTGATGATCAGGGGGTCTAGAAGCAGTTTCTAGATAGTTGGTCGATGAACTCTATTTGTTTGCTAGAACAGCGCTATTTATCGGAAGCGATTTTTTCTCGTGTTCGTTGTGCCTAGACCTACTTGGGGCGGTGAAAAAGGAACCGTGAACGAAGAGCTTCTCTGTAGTTTGCTGATGAATGAAAGAAACTTGAACGAAGATTCGGCTTGATAGAAGTACAATCGAGCTCAATCTAAAAAAACCGAATAACTTCCTCTCGATCGATGGATGGACGCGCTTAATTTGGAACTCTTCAGAAAATAAACTGAAAAAAAAATCAAAACGATCGTCTACATGTGCATTCACCATTTGCGTTGTATTTTAGCTCTTTGCTTCGATCGAAGGCAGCCAACGAACCGAAAAAACAACGAATTTATTCTCTCACCTCGATGTCGACTTTGGTGGAATGGAAAGGATTTCATCGGGTGTCAGTCTTGGAGGTCTTTCTTGCATAGATACGTCGAAGAAAGCAATGAATTGTCGATGAAATAAGGCAAGACGATCTATTTCGGCTGCTATACATAGTTTCTTTACCGAGTCAGAGAGCACGTAGACCGAGTGAGTCGTTTACCGAATCAAAAAAAGTGAATGCTTCAGCAGACAGATTGACTTAAGGGGAGGCCCGTCGTCTTGCTTCCCTGTCAAGTCACATTCATATCCAACAAACACGAGGAGCAGAAACTAACTAACACACTTACTCACTTCTGCAAATTACAGCCTCATGACAAACATGTGAGCACAGCGCGCATTTCTTCACAGTGACTGATGCTTCTAGTGTAAAGACCCCACCCCCAAAGAATGGGCTCTCTCCTTTCTTGAAGTGTCACTGCGTTGCGACAGCTCCTTTGCAACCGAGGGTGGGCCGCAGTTCATCTGCCTGTCACTCAGTCTCTACCTGAAGTTCGTGTCCGATGTGCCCCTACAAGCTCGATGTCAAGTGTCTTGCGAAGCAGGGCTTCTTCCTTCCACCGAAACAGGCCCCTCACTCTCTCTTAGTGCTTATAATCAAGAATGCTTCACTACTTTCACAAGAAGACACAAAAAGTAACCGCCGCTTCTTCGATCAGACTTGAAGAAACACCTAACCCAGAATGAGAGTCAAACCGAAGGAACACGTCGTCTCCATCCAAGGAAGAGTCGTAGAATCAGGCAGAGCGATAAATCTTTTAGTTTCCAGTTGCAGGCGTGGTTTTCAACTGCGCTACTTCGTCCATCAAGCTCCTCGATGGAGTCAGTTACTTACTATACTACCGGGAGCTCTTTCCTTGACGAGCAACAGTCTTCCTATAAATAGGTAAAAACATCCATCGTGAGCTACAGCCACGAAGACAACCCCGTGTCTGAGGAAGTTGCGGCAACATCCCAATATCTTTTTTCTTGCTGCTACAATGCAGCTCGCTATCCTGTGTTGGGTCATTCTTGCGCAAGCCGCACTTTCATGTTTGTTAGCAAGTAAAAACGCAGCCAATCCCTGGCCCAGACAGGGAACTTCTCTTCCAAAGTCATAATATGACTACATAGACTGACGCTCATACTTACTGCACAGGCGGAGGGAAGCTTCCTTCTGCTTCCTACCTTGTTTCACTGGACATACTATAATCAAAGATGGATCTCGCGACTACCTCACACATTACTCACCTCGCGTTCCTCTCTTTCCCACAAGCAACCGGAATGAAACTCGCACACTAGCACTAGGTAAATGACAACGCCATATATATTTATATAAGCTGCTTAGTTCTCACACCCACGACAGTGCGCAAGTCCTTAGTTAATGCCAGTGAACGTTGATGCCGCGCCAATGCGCCAGACAAATGAGACTACTTTGCAGAAGGAAGTAGTCTGTCAGTGACAGAGTGGCTAGCATCTGCTGTTTCTCTAGGAAGAGAGACCTGCCATCTTTCCGTCTCGTCGAATCAATCTTCGCCAAAGGAACTAGCTCCTTTTACTGTTCGAGATGGAGTCCGCAACCACATGATTTCTTATCTCTAAGAAGGGCGGCAATCTTGTTGTTGTACTTTGGAATCAATAAGAGAAAGAAACTACACAAACAAAGTCCTGCCATCCGGCCAGTTCGTTGCAGCTTCATTCAATCTGAGACACCTTCCTACATGGTGCTTGCTTCGTTCCTTGGTAGCTACGTACACTGCTCGATACAGTGCGCCCCCGGATACCAGGTAGTAAGCCTCTGAAGGAAGTCTCACCCCCGCGAGTGGTTTGGGTGCCTGTTCTATAGAACGTAGGTAGGGGATCTATATTCCAGAGCTCAACACTCCATAGAACGACATGCCAAGAACTATAGATTTCAAATACATCGATTAGACAACGACCGCGGTCTTTCCTCATCTTCAGACATGGATCTTACAAGAACTCTTTCGAGCGGGGCACGTGAACTTTTTTCTTGATCTGATGCTGCACAATCTCCCACATGGAGAAACACTTTGGTCATGTTTTTCATCTGCTCGCAGACCTCGAGGCGTCGACTTTCGTGTTTTTTGTAGACTCAAGTTTGTATTCGCCTACAACAAGAATAAAGTCGACGCCATACTGTTCTGCTTATTCTATTGCGCGTTCTCATCGTTCTCTCAGTGGATGCTTGCACCCGCGTGGGCGTGCTCTATCATGGCAGAGAGAGAGAGAGAGATGACTGAGGAAACTTATCCTATTCCGACCTCGTGGCCTAGAATGCAAGGAGAGCCTGACGCAAGCATGCGACCAGAGTAAGACGAGATAATTAATGATTCTAGGCTGAGAGAGAAGAAGAAGATAATCAATCCTACTCGGCAGACGACCACAATGCAAAACTAAAAACTTAGAGTCGAGGCGTTGTTCCTCTTCAGCAGCAACTTCTAAGCTAGTTCTCTCTAAGTACATTAGGACGAGAAACGCGGATCGGTGTGCTCGGCTACAAATCTAACTTTAAGTGGAGAGAGTTCCGCAGGAGCGAAGTTGCGCTTTACCCTCAAGACGTTCCCCCGTTCAACTTCAAGCAAGGAAGCCTCTCCTTCTCAGTTTATATTTAAATCTCAATTCTCCAATGGTGATTATTTACCTTCTATCTTGCATGAATCTAATAAGTGCCGATCCTAGGTGCCCTGTTTCTGAGTTCTGCGTCCAAGGTGAGACATTCGCTACTTACAACAGGCATCAATAATTCTAATTGTAGCAGTTCAAAATTAAATTTAACTTTTCACTCTGGTTCTCGATAATATGAATGTGCATGCGTTACTTCATACTCCCAAACCCATTTGCGACTCCTATTCCCGAACGTGATCTATAAGTACTGCGCTCTTATGCTGACGAGCCGCTGAGTCAATCTCAATTCTTAATCTGCACATAGCCAGCACTAGGCCAAGCTATATGCATATCTAGTTCTAGTTCATATCTATTGACATTACGACTACTCGACGAAGTGGGACTCTATTCGGACTATTTCGTCAATGCACAGACATGCTGACGCTGACTATGGTCATTCTAGAATTCTAGTATTGAATTTGACAGACGAGCTTTATCTTATGCTCCCTATCTATCAGAAACGCGGTAGAAGTTGGGTCGCCATTGGCCTAGTGGCCACATGCACATCTTCAAAAATTATAATTAACGAATATTTTTCAACACATGGTCATGGATTATTATAAACCAAAACTTTTTATTAGGTTCTTCGCTGTAGCAGGCTGCCGCCCTAAAAAATACATAATGATACTGCTATAAGTAAGCCACTTAGGGCATCCCGGTTCTTTTTTGTGACATGGTCCTCCAAACTATGCGCGTGACTGTATGGAGACGAACTCGTCCAATAAGGCCTTCAACTATACAATGCTCAAGGTATGACGTCACGTCTTCGTAGTTCGTGTAAATCCGGCGACTATTTACTACTACCTGTAGAAATGCACCAAAAGCAAAACATGAACATAATTATTTTATTACACTCAATTCCAAAATTGTGATCTTCGCAGACGACAAAACCATGCAAGAAGAACTAATAGACTACTGTATGGACTTTGTTCATTACTTTGCTTCCGTTGGTTCTGCGTCTCTACTCCTTCATCCATGATGAAAGGGCTGGGACACAAGCACAACGTCAGCTTTTATCTCGTTCCTTTCTCAACTTGAGGACGTTGTACAAATAATACTTACTGCTACTGGAAGACGCATACACATGCCAGATAATTCCTCAAGTTTGCTTTAATCTATGCACTGCTAACTTATTAACACTGTACAAGGTGGGCCCCATCTTTTTCGATGAGGTGCCTGCTGACTGAGTCAGACAACCCCGACTGAGTTGGAGAAAAGGTCGGAAGTTCTGCTCTTCATTCGAAACGCCAGTTGATGATTCTGCTGCTGGCTATAATTCTAATAAATCTAAATAGATACTTCATCCGATAGAAATTGCCGACTCTAGTTCTGAAAATTCTTCATGCACAACCACATCATGCGTGGCCCGCAGCATGCTGATGCTCGGGCAAATATAACTTCAAAATTATCTATCTACTCTATCAAATGATTGAGACACCTTCCAAAATTAAAGAAGTCAGCTAGTCATACAACAAGAGAGGAGAATGATTTTCCAAAAGGAACAACACTCGCAACATACAGGAAGAAGACTGGAGCTACCTATCCATGATCATGAAGAGACTTGGCCGCACTGTCATCAACGTGTACCCGCTACAACAACAACTTACTCCTACTTCTCCCAATGAAAACCAAAACCAAGAGTTCTTGCGTCATACTCGTAACTTACTCCAGTGCGCCTCTCACGGAGGGCTTCTTGGGTGCAGCCTCCTCCACGTTCGTCTCATCGTTCTCGTCACGCTTGCGAATCGGCACCAGCAAAGAAATGCGGGCCTCTGTTGTATCCACAACGGTAAGCGTGAGGCTGATATGACGCAAAGCCCATTCTTCCTCATAAATTTCGTACAGACGCTCTGCCATTTCCTGTAGAGGAGAGGTTTGAAAGTGATCTATTAGGACGGTGGGCGCTAGTTCTCGCGCATCGTGCTGTCTCAGAGATTCTAAGGCACTGCTCCTGACAAATCAACATCTGACTTAATTGAAAAGAGCTCGAGGCCGAGCTGCCAAAGTAGAGCAAGTACGTTATTCATATCGATCCCGCCGCTTGCGTGTGCGTCTCCTTTCTTGTTCTTCACGTTCGACGCACCAGCCACGGCTTGCACAGTAGAAGGCTTCAACTGCGCGCGGAAGCGGACGCTCAGCACCTCTCTCTTATCTCCGCACTCGTAATTTCCACGCAGCAGCACGCCACTCGCCATATCTCCATACTTCAGCTTGGTCTGCGAAGTAGCTGTCATACCGCTGCGAAGCATGGTGCGATTATTCGGGATACTGTTTTCGTTCACAATCAGCGCGTCCGTCGCAAACTGATGGTCGTAGGAGAGGATTAACATTCGTAGTACTCACATGGAAGGTATAAATTGAAAGGAGCGAGAATAAGTAGACAAAGACATTTCACTTTCTAGCAAATACGACACAACTCAGAAAGAGCAAGACCTTGAACGGGCATTCGGCTTCGCGATGCCAAACTTGCTTGAATAGTGGAGTCCAGTCCTTCGCGACGCCTGCGAACGACATCTTCATGATGTCCTCCTTGCTGTAGTCGGCTGGCTTGCTCAACCACTCGAGATTCTTCTTCACAGACTTGGCCAGTTCGTTTTCTTGTGCATTGATCATCTCGAAGGTCGAAATGGTGGAATCATTCAGATAAGACTCCAAGGAGTCTTTCTTGTTGTTCTCTGCTGCAGACGTAGACGAAGCGCAACTGTTGCGGGCAGAGGTGTTAATGACAACGCCTGCACCTTCAGCTTCACCGTTCGCATCCGCCATGTCAGCGTCAGCATCAAATTCAAAAGAAGGCAGAACAGGAGAAGCAGCACCAGAAGAGGAAGCACTAGACGAAGCGGACGCAGCAGAAGAAGTCTTCATGGAGCGGGACTTTGCTTTGGGAGCAGCAGAAGAAGATGCACTACTAGCCTTGGAAGTCTTGCTTTTGGACGTGGTCGCGTTGCTCTTCTTGTTCTTGTCGTTTCCTTTGATGACTGCCTTGGCATCCTCGTCTTTGACTGCATCAAAAGCCTTAATCTTGGACGAACTGCGACCGGCGCGTAAGACAGCAGACATATCCTTTCCCAACTTGACAAGCAAGCGTCGGCGCAGCGTGCGTTCGCACAAGGTCTTCACTTGGTTCTTGTCCAATGCACCCGCTGTTAGAGGAAGAAGCAAAAACGTGAAGTATCTTTTTTAGGTTCATACTCGTCTCTCGTCTCTATCGCTTATTCTCATGCGAGCGCTTCTGCTGCTCCTAGTTAGGATTTGATAAAACAATCAGACGGATAAAAAGAAGAACTACGTCTAGTCTACACGATCAGTCGCTTGCGTCTTAAAGGTAGCGCTGTAAGCCACGCCTGAGGGGCCTCCACTGCTCTCAAGACACGGCCCATTGCCAAATCCTCATTCTGATGGGGGTTGGTTCCGGCCAACTGGACTAAACAACCAGCGGGAATCTCGTCCGAAATAAAATCCATTTGCTCACTGTCGTCGGTTCTTTTCGCGAACTGTATGTGTTTGCTTGTTGAGTGGTGAAGATGAAGAACTGCACTTTCAAAGTGAGACAGTAAGCAAGTTCACGCCCACCTCTGAATAACAAAGCAAATTATTACCAAAGAACTACGCTGCTGCAGCGGATGTCAACACAAAAGCAAAAATCGACTACCTGGTAGATTCCTTCGGCCAATTCCCATCCACCATCATGGAGCATATCTTCGACGCGTCGCCAGAGTGCCAGGTATTTGTCATCCTTCTGCGCTTGCTCAGAGACCTTCATTCCAGGGCTTCCCGCAACAAAAGACTTCACTCCGGGGGGAAGGGTCAACCCGTAATCAGCTGGGTTCGTCTGAGAGAAGAGGTAGAGGGGAATGGGAAAGATGTGGTCTGCTATGGTAAGAGGATGAGATAAGAAGCAAGAGGTAGAGAACAGCTTTCGTTCGTTGTACTGAAAAAATCCTACTAAGAGTGAGTGCCTATTTCTACAAGTAGTCCTTGAAATAGCAACGCACCTTGAAACTGTCTGCAACAATGCGCGTGTTCCCAGATTTCTTCTCCGCTTGACGCTTCTGCTCCCTTGCTTCCAACATGTCCACGATCTTGCCAGACACCTCGTCGAAGACTTTCAGCTTGACATCCTCAGCAATCTCGTCCATGCCCTTCAGTTTTTCGGTATTGGCATAGTAGAGCTTCAGCGTCTCGACGTAGTCCCCCCTGTTTCCGTTCATGTTGATCTTCTTGTTGCCCTTCAAAGTAAGGACCAGCGCAACTCCCTCCTCCAAGCGGTTTTCCTGTGGTACCATGTCCCAGCTTCCGCACTGCTGTCTCATCACAGACGCAACGTCGGTTCCCGATCCATATTTTCGCGCCTTAACGCGAGTGAGGCTGCCCTTCTGGAACAGGCTGCGAACCAAGGCGAACTCCTTGAGCCACTTAAAGCGGGTCGACTGCATGGTCTTGTACTTGTGCTGGAGGAAGGAGCAAGGAGAAGACGAAATTGAGAATAAGAAACGGAAGAGGAAGTGATTACTTTGAAAAAGAAACGAGTTCCAAAATGTATTACATACTACCCGAGATGAAAAAGTGAAATTGAAAATCTATCTCATCAAAATTAAGTATATACCTTCACAACATATTCATGCTCATTCGAAGCGCCATCGGGGTTTTTCGCATAATTCACCAAAAGACCAGGCAAGCAATCGACAATATCCGGGATCTGCGGCGGTAAGCCGTCGACCTCCTCATTGTCGAGATCTGCATATTAGAGACTGGCAAAATATAACGAAGAGTAAAGTAACAAGCGCAAGGCGCGTCTGAGTGAGTCTGTCTGTGTGAATCTATCCCAGTCCAGCTCTGATTGAAAGTTAGCTACTGCTCGAAGCTGTGGCAAGCTCTGTCTTGCGTTTCATTGCAACCACTACTAGAGAGCTTCAGGCACATCTAGATGAATTTGAAACTTCCTTAATTGTATAAGAGCAAAGCGTCGCGATTCGCTGGGGCCATGGCACGGTCGGAGAGAATGAGGATCTGTCGTGGTGGGGCAGAAAATTGAAAATGAGCCGCGAGCGCGACGTTAGATCTAGTTTTACTTTTAGGTGGTTGCACTTGGAGAGAGATTAAGTTTAAGACACATAACAAAAAATGAAAAAGAATACTGATGCATTCATCTTGATAAGCAGCTCTGCCACCCACGCATCGCCATGCTCCACGAGTTTCTCCTTCAACATTGTGCAGCGATGGCCACCTGCAATAATTTCGATCTCTCCCTCGTCTTCGACACCGACGAAACCTGTGGTAGACGATACCAATTTGATTCCATATTATTAAAGGAACCAAGTGTGACTGCGAAGACAACACAAGAGAAGCAAACAAAATCAAGCGTGGTCTTCCTCTGAATTGAAACGAAAACGAATGCCATCGTCGAGCAGCGCTTAAGAAAAACCATAGTACATTTCCCAGTCCTCACATAGTGGCACTTGTCATCCTTTTTAAAAATCCCCTGCTTTATATAGTCCTGGACCAACCCGGGGCGCATCGTACACTCGAAGATATGTCCGAACCAAGTCACCCAAGTTTCGTCGGTAATTAGAGGCATACTCATATATTACTTTCGCGAACGATGGTGGAGTAACAAGATCAGAAATTGCTTCTGTGGTTGCCTTAAGCGTGGCTCATTCACCTTGTGGCGTGTCATGCGGAAGCGTTTCACATGCTCCACCGTACACGGCCCGGCCACACCGCGCCCGAGAGATTAGAGTGTGTCAATGACAATGACTATGACAAGAAGAAGGGCACCACAGTACTTAGTAGTTGTACTTGTAGGAGAAATTCAAAAGCGGATCTCTGTCAAGAGTATAGCCTTAATGCTCCGCCTCGAATTCATTCGAAAACTGGACGTCGTTCGTGATGTTTTCCATCCGACGACGGTAAATGTCCTTGGCTAACACCGGCTGAAACTGAAAGGAGCTCATCTTGGCTGTTCTTTGATTCGATAAGCGAGTAGATCTAGATAGTCAGCTGCTACTGAAGAAACGCGGCCAATGCCGATGAAGTTGAGCTTGATCTTGAAGAGAAGAAAACCTTAGTTCTGTTACTTAATGATGACGAAGTCAGTTGCAAACTGCACTGCCCTTGTCTTACACGATGATGCGCGAGTTGTTTTGTTTAGTTTGTTGTTTGAATCTAGTTCGGGCCTTTGAGCTTGAGTTTGATTGTGAGCTAGTGCTAATCTGATCGATGGACTCCGTTAAGAGTGCGATACTAACGAAACCTATAGAGTGGAGGGCGAGTTGGTGATGGTAAGTCGTTTCTTCTTTCGTTTCCTGAAGGAAAAAGAACGAGGACGAGAATGGAAGTCAGTAGTGTAATAGTGACGAGACAGAGAATTGAGTATGAGTCTGAGTAATCATAATGCAAGACGCTTACTCTACGCGTATGAATAGGACAGCACTGAGTACAGGTAACGAATCACAAAAACATTGGACGCCAAGCCAAAGAAAAACAGAGAGTCAGCGACAACGTCGTCATTCACACCCAAAAAAAAACGCCCGACATACGACTAAGAAACGATCACGAGGCATCTTCTACTCACTGACATCTTACACAAGCACTACAGAGCCAAGTCGAAAAAAATAGCATCATTATGAGCGAGCAAGTGCAAGAAAAAAAACAACGACCTCACGACTTCAGATTCTTCTACTCCTTTCAAATTCTTTGACTCACAGCAGGCGAAATCTCTCTCACTCTCAGCTTCAAGATTTCGGTTTGCAGCAACTCTTGGTCTTGCTCAATTTTGAAACGATAGTGCCAGCGCGTCTGTCTTTGATCGATGCACATGGGTTCAGTCACTCGTACAAAAAAAGCCAGTAGATAGATTTACACGCACGCTTCATTGTATTCAAATTTTGACACTCGACAGGCACCATTATCGCTCCAGCATCCACGTCTTCTTACATGATTGACACCTGCTACACAGAGCACGCGCTGCGACGTGCCTGCTGTTAAAGAGAAGGCCACCACAGCACTAGAGTGAGAGACCAACCTGCTGGCAGTTGGCGCAAGTCTACTCATCCGCGCAGGCCAAGACGAAGCGGGGGACACACTGCCACAGAACGCAGACAGAACAAACGACATTGAAAACCGGGCGCCACACAGCGGCAAGCAACGCAGGCACTCACGAAGCAAAGTTGCAAAACCAACCAGCCGGCGAACTATTAGACCCGGGGAGCGGCTCCGGAGCCGCCGTCTTGGCTCCGGAACGGCCGTCGGGGCCTAATAGTTCCGGAACTATTAGGACCCGACAGCCGTTCCGGAGCTACTACGGCCGTTCCGGAGGCATTTGCCCGGTCTATTAGGAAGAGACCCCGCCCGGTTTTCCCATCGGAAAACCCCCGCCACATTCTGCGGCGGGCCGCAAAGACGCGCCCCCACGACAGGCCCACCCAGCTAGCTGGCCCGCGGCTGACCCAACGCAAGACAAGCAGAACGAGCCCCAACACACACCCCCGCAAAGAACGGGCCCCCAGCGCTTCCCTTAAAGGAGGGGAATGGGCTCCGCCTTTTTCCAAGTCGCGAAGCCGTCGGACACGCTCCGAAACTATTCCCCCGGACCGGGCGGGAGGGTATTCCCTAACACAAAAACCCCCGAGCACCGCCACGCCCGACTACGTTCCCCCCATGATATCAAACCCAGGCCCGGCCTATCCTGTAGCAGGGAAACAGCTAGGAGCCCTCAGTTACTTCGTCCGCTGGAGATAAGCAGAGGCGGCGGAACATCTAGCAGAAAACCAGCCGAGCGCCCTCGGCTCCGCCATGTCTCCCCATTGTGGATACGTGGGCGCGGCGCATCCTCTTGCGGAAATGGAAAAGCAGCCGAGAGCCCTCAGGGGTTTCCCTCTCTGAAGATACGTGGGCAAGGCGTGCCCCCTAAAGGCAAACTTGCCGAGTGCATTCGGCCACTTTCCTCACCAGAAGTCCTAGCCGAAAAACAGCAGAGCACCTTCGGGCATTCTTCCCCACTCAGGCGCCTGCTGTTTTTTCCCTTAGCGAGAGACCCACACGACGCACCTTGCTCGGACCTCTCGTGCCCGCGTCCAGGACGAAGGGGCGAAAGGATGAAACCTGAGGGCCAGACCCCGCTTGGATGCAAGACACGACGAGAAGGAGAGCGATGGCAAATGTCTTACATATAAATTCCCAGGGAGACAGACACAGATACAGATACTGCCACGCAGAGGCAGGCGCTACTACCACTAGTGACAAGCACGAAGCTACGAGCACGGCCTCTAATGGAAAGAAACTACCAAAGGACTACGTGAGTGCACAAAGATCATGATCAAGGAAGAAATAGGCATCAAGTATACTGTAGCTCCCACTGTACAAAGAAAACCCAGAGACCACGCTAGACTACGCAGTTACAAAAGTGAGCACGCGGCCTGCTCTACTAGTCGCGCCGACCCCTTAGCGATACTTGCAATACTTCCTTATTCTTCTACAGACATCTACTAGGATAGTGGTACTACTACTACTACTACTATGAGCGGGCGGGCACAAAGGTTCTTAGTTCAAGTTCTGCAGAAGAGCCTGGCACTAGGTGAGAGGGCCAGCGACGCTCTGAATCTATCTACGACGTTCTCACTCGCGCTCTGTGGAGCAATCCTCAAGAAGAGCCTGCATGTATCTAAATCTAGTTTCTAGTATGTAGCTCACGATACCGAAAGAGAAGCTCTGCCCGCAGATGTTGGATTTGGAAAAGTCAATAATCTTGGACTCTGATCCTGAGACTGATTTTGATTATGGTAACAAATGAATCTAGATACTAGCACTATGCGTGTGCGTCTCCATCTCTATAGCTGACCCTTATCAAGTCACAAGCCAAAGGTCTTTGTCTTTCAGAGAGAGACCAAACAAAACACATAACCAATTTTCTGTCACTCAAGATCTGCAACCTAAGTTGAACGGACAGTATGCCATCACGCGAAGGCGAAACTATAGAGACTCTAGCTCTGATGTTCTTATGATAAGCATGAAGCTCCGCGATAAACTTAATCTTAAACGTGTCTACATCTACTGACTACTTACAGTTACGGCTACAACTACAAGTACAACCAAAGGCGTCGTGTGATAACTACCCACGCCTGGACTGGGTTCCTGCCTTGCATGCTCTGCTATAGACTTCGCGACCACCAACACATGATCTGGGTCAGAGTTACTATTTCATTTGTGCAGAAGATGTTGATGCGCTAGCACTAGATGTTGTGCTTGGTATTGTGCTGCACTAGTCCGAATCTGCAAGAAGATCGTCCTCTAGATTTGCAAAGTCAAGAGCGTCGTCATCTGAGTGCATGTTGTCCCCATCCTCGAGCCCCATATCCTCTTCAAAGCCGGAAGCAGCATAAGAACTGACATCGTCCTGGTCATCGCTCCACTCACTCCCGCTAATGCCGCCTGCAGCGTCCTCTGCGTCGGGCGTTCGCGTGCTAGCGTCTGCTGAGAGAGGGCCGCCCGCATCCTTCTCCCCTTGCTCGCGTCGCCACATCTTCACCAACTCCCCCAGAACCTGCATAGCCTGAATCTTCTCTGACGTGTCTGCAGGCACAAAAGGAGCACCAAGATCTTCACAGGCCTCCTGTATGACAGCAATCCGAGCTCTCTCTATATCGCTTGATGATGAAGAAGCGCAAACTTTGCTGTAGCTACTCACGACTCGCGGCGAGCGTTTCTGCTTCCCATTCTTGTCCTTCGCACTCGCAGCCGGAGCGCCAGGAGTGTCATCAAGACCAAGGAGTGGGACTCGCATCTGCCATTGCAGGTTCTTCTTGCGGGAGCCTGGTCGTACCAAGACTATGTACACGTCCGAGCGTGTTGGCAAGGACTTTGGGATTTCAGGCGTAGCCTTCATGTCCATATTTATTTTGGCCCACTGGGTATCCCAAACCGTCCTCCTCATCCGTTCAGCTGCTGCTCTTCGACCAAGTCGCTCACCAACGGTGCCACCCTTCTTCTTGCGCTTCGTTGCCATCGGCACAAGATCAGAGGCTCCAACTTTCTGACGAACAATCTCTGGTGCCTGAAGAAACAACTCAGCAGCTGTAGTGCAACGTGCATCGGTGGGGCGAGCAGTCTCCATTTCGATACACCACCCCGACATCTTCTTTTTGAGTTCCTCTCCGTGCACGGCAACATCAAAGTCTGCATCTGTGGCGGCTGTGCCTGTAGCTGCCCTTGCTCCTGCTCCTGCACCAGAGCCAGATAATGACAATCCTCCCGCCGCACTAGAAATGGTAATGGGTATGGGAGCAGCATCTTGTTCTGCTTCAGCAAAACCAATATCGAAGACGTCGCCCAGGTCGTCGCACTGACCGTTTACTTCCGGCGCAGCTGCCGGCGGCGGTGCGTTCGCCTTCGCCTTCGCGTTCGCACTCTTGATTTTCTGAATCTCCTTCTGCCTTTCCAGCTTAAAAGCTTCCCTGTATTGTTGAAAGGAAATCAGCTCCGAGAGCCAAACATGATCGCGGCCGCTCTGCACGTTGTCACCGTGAACTTTGTACTCGAAAGCCTCCAGCCTGGCAGTGGATCCAGTTTGTGTCGCCCGACACAACAACGCGTTGGTCTGCCGCACATCGAACACGTACCACCAGACATCGTCCCACGCAACTGCGGATCGTTCAGTGAAGCGAAAGTCCCTGCTGGGCTCTGCCATCTTGATCTTCGAGCTCGATGCACTTGTGCTCGACGCTCCAATTCCAGGGCTTTTCTTTTTCATGGCCGTCGTAGTTGAAGAAGTCGCTGTCGCAGGCGCTGCACGGGAGCGGGAAGAAGAAGATGATGAAGCGGCTGCCCCAGTACTGCTACTGCATGGACCATCAGAGACGGCTTCTTGTTTTTTCCGCAAGCAGGTGGCGTGATCATATCCACATCCATACTTGAACCGAACCAGATCCCCAACCTTCAGACCCAACAGCTTCATAGCCACAGCGCCGCTTGCTGGCTGCCTGTCCACTCCCCGAAGGTCTGTGTGATTCTTAGCGTCGACGTCCAACGATCGTCGCAGATGCTCCATGTCAGCGAGGGCTGCCACCATGTAGCGACAAGCCGGTCGAACGTTACTCCGCGACACCGTAGCTGGCAAGCGGACTGAGAAACGCCGGTCGCGAATCTTATACAGCATCCCATAATGTTCGGGATTGATGGACGGATTTCTGCGAATCACCAACCGGTCGAACAGCAGCTTCAGTCCTATTGCTGGCGCCTCCCTACGAATCGCCTTATAGCTCGAGTGAAGACTCTCCACACGCTGCACCGAGGGCCCCAGCATGAAGATGA